AGGATGTCGACCAACTGATCAATATTAAAGCTGTTTCCGGAAGAACTAGTACGGATTTGCTTTTTTTGTAAATTTCGAGAGAGTGACCACAAATGGTTTTTTTTTTTTTTTTTTGAAAAGCAAATTTTGAATTTTCGCTGTTGGCATTTTCGAAGCGAGAACCAGATTGAAAAAAAAGGTGTGCAAGCCCTCAAGTGCAAAATGATCTGTAGCCCCTAGCTGCTCATCCGAGCATGTTTTTTTTCTGTAGCTTCTATTTCATCAAAACTGTATGGTCATTCTTTATGGATTTTAGCGTTTTTGCGATTCAGCTGCCTGATGAGCCTTATCTACGCCAATTTTCAGCGGTCCAATCACATCCATGCCATACGAATAACGGTAACTGTGAGCATTTGTGTATTCCTCGAGCATTTTCACAGCATCAGTGTATGTGCGCTACTGGTTATTCTCTTGATGGCAGCACTCACTGTAAACTTTTCGATCAGTCGTTTTTGGTTGTTGCAACGAAGACGCGGATTACCGGCATCCCGTCAGTCTTTTCTTAATTTTTGCTTATCGGTTTTTTCAAAACTAACTTTGTCCTAAATAGTTTCACGCTTTAATCAAGAAGAAAAAATGGAGCTTTAACTGTGTACGAGCCCTTAATCTTAGCCAAGATTCTGAACAACTCCGTATCTTTAAGCAGAGCTGTTGCATTCGGTCTTCAATTCGTTTCATTTCAATGCAAACACTTTTTTTGCTACAACAATGTAGGAATTGTCTATAGGTTTTCGAAATACTTCTCTTATCAGAAGAAAAAGCACCGTTTCTCTTCAGTGTTCAGTAGTAGGCATGAACTTACTTACTTTTGTACTGGTAGTACAATATTCCTCATTGTTGCTCTGTTCCTTTGCATACGAAAAATCAGTTTCATTTTCTGTAGACTCCACGAAGAACAAGCAAAGTCAGTAGCAATGGAACCAATTGGTGGCACAGCAATTACAGCAGTAGATTTTGAATTCGAAAGCAAGTCACTGTTTGTTGCCGAATCGTCTGGTCCAAATCGTGGCATTTACAAAGTGACGCTTGGCAGCGGCGAAGTGAAGACCATTGTCAAGGACAGCTTCGGATCGTTCACAATACGAAGCATTGCTGTGGACTGGATTAACTGTATGCTTTTTGGGATGAAACTGTTTCCCAGGAATTGTTATAATAATTGATAGAATATCTTAGAATAACCCCTGCTCAAGCATTCCCTAATATCTACTCAAGAGTACTGTAAGGTCAGCAAGAGCAGTATTTATTACGGAGGCATTCCGAGAACAAGAAAGCAGCAAATTTGTAGAAATGAATT